TTCCATCTACATGTCCATCATAGTTTTATCATCATCCAAACCAGCGACGTCAGGGCTATCAACTCTAAGATGCAGGTCAACAAGACGGGCAATAATAATATCCTTTTCGACTTGCTGAAAGAGAAAGATCCATTAGTTTACAACATGGACTACTTTAGCATCTGATGAACATATAATTGGGAAAAATGATGATAAACAATATACGCACCAGTGAGACAAAGTTTTGCTCATTGTTAGGCTGAGCCTGAGTTGAATTCTGCCCATATGGAAATTTCTGTGGCAAATATCTTTTGAATTCATCAATTAGCTCTTGATGATCCTTGAAGAGAGCCACAACCTGCATAGCAAATGGGTTTAAAAACATAATAAAGAAATAAGTACAACAGCTAGATCCAGTGATCTTGGGAAGAAATGACTGATAATTACTTGAATTTACCTCATTGTAGACCTCATTTATGTCCTTCTGCCCCGTCCGGTACATTTTCAATATGTCTAGGAATGATTGATAAACATGTTTATTGTTTTGGAAACGTTCCTGCGAAACAAAACCCATGAAATAAGAAGAGCAAACAATAATAGAACATGATACAACAATGGAACAGTTGTTCACCTTTATCTTGAGCACAAAACTGATAGCTTCTTTAAGTTCAACTGACTTTTCCAGCGGTTTATCATGCTCATCGAGGCTTATCTCATATTCTTTTGGCAAGAAAGTGTTGAATCCATAAAGTAAGTTGTTATGCCCCTTAAACAATTCCTTCACTCTGGCAACGACACCAGCTGTGTCAATTCTGCAAAAGAAAAAAGGGATGGCATTCAGCATTTTTAAAGTTATAAAGCAACATCACAATCATTCCCAGTCAAAAACTGAGCAAGTTCGAAGGGTATGTACTTTTGAGCTCTGAAGTCTCTCATGACCTCAATGAACATGTCATATTTCTCCCCTCCATCTTGAAATGCTTCCTTCACTTGGATCAAATATGTTTCGGCATCATTTCTAGTCAACAATTCCTCTGAGCTACCTTCCTGGCCTCCCCCAATGTGGCTAACATTCATCTCTCCAGCCGGTGCTTGGGATTGGCCATGTCTTGAAAGACAAAAACAATGAGAATTACAATATTACGCAGCAAAAATTGTCCAAAATAATCATCCATATATAAAACTTTCCAACTTTTTTTTTTTTCTTTCTCTAAATCCTATGTAGATTCATCAAGCAATGACTTTAGGAAGGATCAAAGTTTTCACTTATGAAATTATTCCAAAATCTAGCAACAAAAATGCTTTCATCAAAATGTGGCAAAACAATCCCAACAGAATCCACTAAATGATTATATTTTAAAAACCAACAAGTAGCAAATATGTGCATATATCTTTTGTAGATCAGACGATGGGCTATTAAACAAGGGATAACCATCCCCATCTGCCTCACGATTTAAACTCCATTCGAACTCGAAATCTCTAACTTGGAGTCTCTAGCTCTTAACCAACAAGTACCAAATATAACAAACCACATGCAAACATACACAAGAAATTTCGTGATCAATATATGCTCACCAAGCAAAAGCATTGAAGGTACCAATAAAATCAACTATCCCATTATCATCACACAGATACACACACATATATAAAGTGTTCTGAACTCACTTTTCCCATGGAGACGAGCCAGAACCAGAACCAGAACCAGAACCAACACCACCTCCTGTTTGGCTCATACTGCAGCCAAACAAACAAAGAAAAACAATCAATCAATTATTCTATAAATGAATAACCTCTGAAACAACCAACACACAAGCAAATTTTTTTTTTAAGTATATCAGAAATTGGGTAAAGGAAACCCCAAACCCCACTTTCGTTTTGAACAGATCTTAGAGGACCCTTTTGATCTCCTTAGAAGATAAAATAATTCGATCTAAGATTCGTAATTGGAACGGTATTTTGCAGCTATAGGAGTCGTTGTTACTTACACTCGCTGAGTTTGGATTGATCCAGGAGAAGGAGAATGCGAGGAGAGTGAACGGCAGTGTAGGATAGCGATTGGCGTCCCTCTTAAGATGGCATATTTAATCCTTCCCAAACCCCTCCCATTTCGGGAATTTGAGGGATTTATTTTTATAATTTTGTTACTTTTTTATTTTTTTAAAAATGTTATTAAAATTTGAGATTAATGCTTATTAGTTGGATTTATAAAAGATTAAATGAAAAATATTTTAAAGTTGTATTATTTTAATAAAACACTACAAAAAATTAAAACATCTTTATTTTCACTTTTAATTTTTACTTTTAAGATAATTATGATATTTTAGGTTTTTTAAATAAAATTTTATTAAAATGACATAATTTTAAAATAGTTTTCTATCCAATCTTTTTGTAATACATACTAATATCCACTTTTTCATTAAAATTTTTAGTTTAATCAATTTTATAATTTATTTATTTATTTAATTAAATAAAACAATATAATCTTCTTTTCCTTTCCCCTTCTCTTATTATTATCTATTCAACTGAAATTAACCTTGATTTTTCTACTATATATCTTTTCTCTTCTCAACTTTTATTCAAACAAACCCTTTATTAGAAAGTGACTTTTTTTTTTTCACTATCAATTTATTAATTTGAGTAAAAAAATTTTGATTTATTTTATACAATATCTAAAGTTTGAGTCTTATAAATAGAAAAACAAATACTAAAGAGTTTCCTCTCATTATAGGGTTTGATACGACTTAACTCCGAATTAATTAAGATTTAATATAACTTTTGGATGCTCAGTATTTAGTACCGAAAAAGAAAATTTCTTTTTTTTAGTATGTCATGGGTTAACTACTTAATATTAAAAAAACTTAAATATCTAATTTTGATCGCTAATTAAAATTTTAAAATTAGTGAATACTAATTCTACCAATATCTTATTGGTATTATAGAGTATTTTAACCACAAGTGCTTTGATCTCAAATGGTTTAATTGTGGATTTCCCTTGTTTATAATTCAATACATTAGTCACCTTTTGCCAATGGAACTGAGTATGAATTTAAGTTTTTGAATTGAAGTTTTTATAATTTGATTCAAAATTGGGTTAAAAAGCAAGAAAATAGGGGTGATAAAACAAACT